GTACAAGCACGCCATCATAATGGGTGCTGCCGGGAGAGTTTGTACCAGGATGTGTATGATTTACGGTACGGAAATTTGGCACTTCCAACTGAGCGAAGTTTGCTACAGTACTCAACAACATCAACTCTTTCGTCTCGCTACCTTAAACAGTGTAGGTATGGGCTCAGCAATGCTGATCATATTCGGCGGATATATATTCAACTTGGTTACGAAGGAGAACTACCAGAAAATCATCGCCCTTCAGCAAGTGGCAACTCTCGGTGGACATGTAAAGTGATCAGCTCAGTTCTTCAAGGCATCACTACGGCTCAGGTGTCTTCCGGCTACGTCGGAGATATATTGCTCAACGTTCTCAACTGCGACCTCATAATTCTCGTATACATATCAGCAGGTGAATCCCATTGGAACCAGGGACTTTTGAGAATTCATATTCCCCAGAGTTTGATAACAACGAGAAAAATGCCCCTAATCTAATGACATTTACATGGGAAACTGATTGATGAATGTGCTCCTAGCCATACGTGGAAAATTCAAAATGAGTTCCTCCCCGGGAACGTTATAAGTTCCCAATTGGAGCATACTTTAAGATTGGGTGCTTATTCAGTCTCGGTAACCTCCGGCTTCCTGCTGGCCCTATCGTTCCCTCAAGTATCGTACACCAAAACACCATCATTAACCCAAGTTTTTCGATCAGTGAAGCGGATCTACTCTAGCCCAATATTCCTCCTTATGGTAAGCAGTTCACCTCTATACACCCCATGTCGTCTACAGTTGATGCTATGGGGTGTACTAACATCAGTACACTCTCTAGTGTGGGGCTACGAGACTTCCCTCTACGACTACCTCAAAGTTGAACAACACTACGTTGGAGACTACAATGGTATTCTAGCTAGTAGTGGTCTCCTCCTAGGTAATTCATTCCCACTACATACACAGCATGTTGCCTACTACAGGTGCTCTCAGCGCGATGCTATCTAATAACGACTGGGTGTTGGCTCAGCACACAGCTCATCCTCATCGGTCCATGATCATAGAAAGCGGCATCATATCACTGTGCATCCTCCTCATGAGCCGGTCTTCGCTGACTAGTCTTACGATCGGCTTTATCCTCTACTTTGGCGTGTACACTATGATGAACACTACATTCATCGGTCATTGCGGAAGTAGGAACATCCTCTAACTCACAGCACTACCCCTACTTTTCAGGATTCGCAGAATCGTCGTTGAGCACCACTACGTCGGAAAAGAGCCCATTCGCTGCCCTTTTCACTGCCAACTTTCTCCTCTCGCAGTCCCTACAAACTCTGCTGACTTGGATTGTCTATACTAGTCTCAAGTTGAACGTAGCATTGACCTCCTCCTACACAACGTTACGCCCCCTTTATAGGTACGTCAAGCGTGCGTGCTTATGTCCTCTTACACAGGGATATCTACCATACTAGCAACTGCAGCAGCGATGTTGATGTACTCAACCTTGTGCCGTTATGATAGAGGTGATGTTCCTCAGTTACGCCACACGTCGACGATGAGTTTTTATGTAAACAATTATGAACTTTTTCGTTGAAGCATTGCCGATAAACTGTCTTCTCATTGACTTAGTAGTATTGTGCTGAAGTACGTCAGTGGGAGTTGTTGCAAAGAATGCGACAGCACGAGTATTCGTTCGGACACGTTTTGCGCGACATTCCTCTTCAGTGTAACAGAATCAAATTCTTCCCAAGGATAATAATCATCTACCGGAACCCCACAAGGCTCTAGGAAGCGGTCTGCACTGAGATTACCGAGTCGGATGCTCCCAAACACTCCCGATCAACAAGAGGGATTGAGTCAATTCACGTGGCAACACAACGTCTTTCTCTTTGAAACAGTTTTTTAGACAATTTTTTCATCACTCGGTGCACTCACGTCTTCAAGTGAAACCTCACGACTATCGCCTTCACTGTAGAGTGTACCTTGTCAATATCTCAATTTCATGGCGTGCGAGAAGTGGTGTCCTTACGGTATTTTATCAGCATATAGGCACTTCTCAGCTACGTCCTTCTCGGTTACAGTAGTAACACGAATAACTCCTCCAGATGATCCATCGCGAGCCATAGCATGAGCCACTGCCTTTGCCACGAAATCCTGGAAGCACAGTGGCCGACCTCAGATGAAACCGACAGGTCTTACCTCAGCTTCCTCCCTGCTCATATCAGGACGGTATAGGTGATCGACCAAACCAGTGATGTAGGTCGATCTGAAGACAAACTGATGCCCATCAACCCTTCAAATCGTTCTCACCCGGAGCCTCCAGTAGCGATATTTTGCTTGATGATAGTACCACCAAGGGGTATAGAGTACACCTGAGGCCCCTCGGTCTGGTCCCACCCAGCTACGATGAGCCCAGCTGTTAGGTATTGTTTGTTGTTGTAGGCCAGCAATCTGCATACCACAATTTGACCAAATCACATTATGGTAACAGCAGTACTATCTACCTCATCAGATTGGCAGCTGTCTTCACCTTGGGCAGACGATCCAAAGGCAGATCGTTCGCATGTGCATTGAGGAAATATTTCACTTTCGAGCTCAGGAACTAGCACAAACAGTAGGGAGAGATCACCAGAAAAATGATGAGGACCAACCTGAGTGTCAGCAGCTGATCCACTGCGGCAAACGAAGATCCTATCGTGGAGACGAGTGACCTTACGGCTCACTCTGTTAGCAACATAACCACCTAATAAGACATCACATCCAGGGCGATAGCTTAGTAGTACTACTACCAGTGCTAGTCCTCGAATCAGCTCCGAGTACCACTCCATCCTTAAACTTCATGGCCATGATGGTAGTACCTGTATAGAGAGAATGCATTAGTAGTTAGACGA